GGGGGGGCCGGTATTGGGGTATGCGTAAAGGCAAATCGTAAACGGGTAACCGTTGGCTTAACCGTTTTATAACAAACCGGTTGTTAAAATCGAAGCGTAATTGGTAATTTGCTTGCAAACGTTGCGTATTTTAGCGATAATTTCGTTTTTTATAATGCGAAAGTAATTGGGCATACGGTTGCAATGGTTGCGGGTTTGCGTTTCGAACGCGTTTATTACGGTTTTGGTTTATTTTTTTACAATTTTAAACATTAATTTGGTATTACCGAAAGGTACGAAAGGCTTTAATATTTCGATTAATTGGTTTTTTAAATTTACAATGCTAATGCGCGTTAAAAAAGGGTTAAAGGCGTTGGTTATAGTGGTATTATTGCTGGCTTTAAAGCGGTTAGTAACCGTTCCGTTGCTTACGGGGTTGCTAGCGCCGCTAGCAGCCGCGCCGGAAGCGCGCTCGCGCGCGGACATATGTCCGGTGGCGAGCCGGGGGCGAAAAGTTTGAATTTAATGTTAAATTTGCTGTATTTAATGGCGTTTTCCCGTTGCAAGGTTGGGGAAGCAAAAGTTTTACAAAAATAATTATAAAATGCTTTAATTTAGCATTAAAATAAACCGTTGGATTAAAAATAAAAGTAAAAAACCTTGTATCGTTAAAAAAATTTTTAGCTTATTTTGCCATTTACGAAACCCTTGTTTTAATTTGTACAATGCTTTGTGTTATAAAATTACCTGGTTTTTAGCAAAATTATAACCAAATTGCTTAACTATTTTTTTCATTTTAATTAATGCAAAAGCTACCCATTTACTAAACCCTTTTAAAATAGTAAGGTAAATTTTTGCGTCGAAATTATTGTTTAAAAACGCTTTAATAAAATTAATTTATTTAACTTCCCAATTTTTTATTGCAGCAAAGGCTAAAAGTATGCGCTAAATAAGCGGTAAATTAATAAAAGCAAAGGTTTTTACAAAATCCAAGCCCTTTACTTGCATAAAACCTTTAGCAACCAATTTAACTTTATACTTTATAAAAGTATTATTTTTGTTTTTTTAAACTTAAATACCAATCGATAAGTAGTTAATCTTTTTCTTTTAAATACATTAGCTTTAAATAAAAATTTAAAGGTTTTTGCGCGTAATAATTATTCGAATTTTGCATTTAAAGCAATTAACCAATTCCTGCTATGGAAGCTTTTTAAAGCTTTTTTATAAAAACCTAGCTCGCCGTTTTTAATAAGCTTTTTTTTACAGCTTGCTTTGCTTTGTAATAAATGTATTAAACGTATTACTTAATATCCATTTGGTTTAAATTTAAAGGTTGCCCCTTTAAATCCATAAGCATTTCATCCACTGGGGGTACCGGTATTTTAAGCGTTGGTAGCGCTACAATGCTACTAAAGCCCTTTAACGGCTTTACAATAACCTGTACAAGCTTTGGAAGCTTGTTTTGCAAAGTAAGTATCGGAGCTTTTAAAGGTTCCGTAAGCTATGGAATTGGCAACAAATCGTTTTCCACTTCGCTTTTAAAATTATTAGGAACGCTATTAATTGGCAAATTAACGTTCTTTTTAATAAATTGTACCAATGGTACCCCTTTTAAAGTTTTTCCCCTTTGGAACCAGATTTTTTATTAGTACTTTTTTTAATAGCTTAATTGTAAAGGTTTTATACACAATTTTACGTGCGGGTGCATATACAAATATAATGGTTTTATTTAAAGCTTTTAAAAGCTTAATAAATTTTGTTTTAATTGCTAGCTTTTTCAATTTAACCTTTTGTTTTATAAAAATTACAACCTTTATTTAGGTATTTATAACCTTATAATGGCTAACGTTAAGCTTATAAAAAAATCCGGGTTTTATTTCGTCGTAAAACTTTTAATACGGGCTTAGCTTTTTATTAATAACCGCCGTAGCGTTTATTAATTTAACCACAATTAGTAAAATATAACATTACAAATAAAACGGTAAGCTTGCCGCATTAATTGTAACCTTTAATTTATCCAAAATTACCTTTACTATACGTTTAAATAGCTTATTTTGGCCGTAATTATAAAGGTTTAACGTATTAAATGCTGTACCTTTACGTTTAAGCCATTGCTTTAACGCCGTATTAACCTTTATACCCTTATCGAAAAACAATTTGTTAAGGTACCGCCCGTAGCTTGCTTTTAGCCTTTTAAAAAAAGCTTTTATAGCAACGTACATTACATGGCCATGCTTGTTAAGCAATTAAAAAATCCACTTATATTTTAATTTACGGTTTACAAACATAAAAATTACGGGTTTTTTATTGTATAGTATAAAGGATAAAATAACCATATCCTTTTTTATCGAATTTAAAACGTTATCCAGTAAAGGTAACGGGCCCTTTTTGGTTTTCCATACCGTTATAATTTTAGCGCATATTACGCATTGCAACCTTTTAACTTTATCGAAATTAAAAAAACCGGTAATAATTTTAACAATTTTTTTTTAGTT